GATGTGGGACAGGGTGCGCTCGGCGGCAGCTTTCGCTGGGTTGCCCGCAGCGTCACTTGCGGAAGGAGCCCCCGTTTGAAGTTCCTGCAGGAAGAGAAAGAGGTTAATCTAAGGTAGCCACAGTATTCATGGACGTCAGAGCTGACGAAGTTCAATACCGATCGCCCCTCACACTTTTCTCCAATCCTTTGGATCCGACCGCATCGCAAGCACTTCCAACGTCTCAGTGCACAATGCTGAAGTATTGTGCAGCATTAGTGGTCCGCGTGAGCGCCTGACGATTGCACATAACCATTGCTCAGGATAGTTACCAAAACTTAATGTCACAAGGGCTGACGCACTCACTAGGCGAAACGCAAAGTTTACGAGGGCAGCCAGGGCTTGATCCGCATCATCCTGTGCGGCCTGTTGCACAGCGCTGGGTGCCGAGAACCACGCCCAGTCCAGCAGATTGGCTGCTCCTTTTCTGGCCGCCGAGGGGGCGCTGCAGTCCTTCACGAGGGAGATGATCCGCGACAGAGATCGCAGGGCGAACGGCGTCACAGTCTGCAGCAATAATTCGCCAACATCAGATAGCTTGCCGATTACCTTGACAGAACGGTAGAGTGAGCTTCAAGGGAGACATACCGCAAAAGGACAAGCTTTGGGAGACACGTGCTTAGAATTGAGCCATGCGTTTGGCGACTCGAAAAGTGCTTTACTCGAGGAGCAGTTCGATCGAGCCTAACCTAGTTTTGACATACAATTTGTTAGAGCAAAGTGTGTCTCACGTGAGCAGCATAGCGGGTGAGGTAGTCCAAGGCAGCCAGCAGAGCCTTCAGAACTTTGTCGCCAGAGCTCCGCGGACCAGCAAGGTCCTCAAGGAGAGCCTGCAAGAACCGCCAACATTTGATTTCTGAAAAGGGCAACAACGGAGGTTCAAATCAACCAGAGCCAGCACAGAGCGTGGATTCTCTTTACCAAAAATGGGCGTCTTCTAGAATATGGGGAACCGTCTGAGCACACTGGGCTCGTCAACTGGACACACCAGGACTGCTATTTGCGAGGCCAAATTGGTGGTCCTCCCGCTGCTCACCCACCAAACGGCACGGCCGCGATGTGACGAGAAGGATCAAACACTTGACCCCTTGTACGTGGGCAACGTCACAATGACGTCACCTCAAGAAGGTCGAGCACTCAACCACCTGATCAACGAGAGTCGCCCACAATGGGCGTCTTAGAGACGGGTCTTGCACAAGCCCGCACAGATGACTTGCAAAATGCACGCGTGAGGCCACATCCTCACCTCGAGAAGGCCGGAACGGCCCACTTCCTCGGCCATGCTCTGACGGATGCTCAGGACCAAGCGCTGGCTCTCCACAGCGGTCGCTTCTTCAGACTCTTGCTGGTTCTGTACGGACGCCAAACGCTCCTCCCACTCCCGTTCATTTGCTTGCGTCGCTGTGAGCGCCGAGGACACAGTATCAACTGCTGTGGATGCTGACTCCCCCCCTGCTTGCAACTATGCCACCACCGCACCAAGCGCTTGCTCGAGGTCTGCTTGCTTGACCTGCGCACAAAGAAGAGCTTGTGAGCGTGCCTGCACGTATGCTGCTGGAGGGAACGAGAAGCACAGTCGACTGGCAGGCTGATCGGAGCGTCGACACATCTCAGTTTCAAGGGCAGGTCCGGGCAGGGGAAGCGAGCAGTGGAAGCGACCTTTGCAACTTGTACCGACGAGAAAACTCATACCAGTTCTCAGATGCTCGAAACGGAGCAGTAGAACGAGGTCTACTTCAGATTAAGCTGACGGCTGGCTCTTAGAAGCTTATCAGCTTGAAGCAAGCTCAAAAGGGTTCCTAACAAGGATACATACCTTGGCATCGAGAGCAATCTGCAGAACGTGAGTGGCAGACCAGCTATCAGGAAGGCCAATCTTCAGACAGCCAATCAGTCTCTGAGACTCCCTGTAAGACAAAAGTAGGCACAAGTCAGTTGGTCAGTCAGTCAGCGAAAATCAATAACGACATGCACGGTGTAGCAGCTTTGGATCTTGGCGGTCGTCGTTCAAGGAAGAGCACGTGTCGATAAAGGAGGTTTTTGCTGCGGCAGTAATTGCCAGACTGGTGGTTGCAGCAGGAGGGACTCAAAAGCTGGTCCAGAGACTCACTCGAGCGTGCGCTCCTCCAAACCCTCTGAGTTCACTTCCTTGGCAGCGGCGCTTGCTCTCCTTGCAGAGAGTTGCTGTAAAGAAGAGACAACAGGCAACTTGAGAATGTTTCACAAGTTTGTCTTATGTGGATATGCAATCAATGAAGTTCCATGAAGCGGGTACAACAACTATTCTGCTCAGAGGAGTCAACGGCAGCGGCACTCGCTCTCCTTGCAGATAGTTGCTGTAGGGAAGGGATGACAGGAGACCCCTGAATGGTACATAAAGCCGTATATGCAGGCATGCAACTTGTAGCTTCACAAAGCGGGTACAAAATCTGTTCTACTCAAAAACATCAATGGCACTGCAAGGAGGGATGGGAACAGTGCTGGGCGTCGACAAGCCCCCACGCTCTTACCATGACATGCTGCCCGACAGCGTTCCACAGCCAATTCCGAGATGGCGTGAGCACTGCTCCCGCACATGTCTTCAGCAGGCCCCAGTGCCGACTCCTGCATAAAGGAGGAGCGTCAAAGGTCAGCAGAGAAAGAGAGGCAGGTCCACAAGTACAGATTCCTGAGTAGAATCTCCTCTCCAGAGGCCAAACCTGCTTCGGATAAAGTTGGGAAAGATTTGCAGAAGGAAGCGCCCGCTGAGCCAAGACCTCGTGAAGATGAGGTCCATTATGGAGACGATGATGCAAAAGAGGGATGAGCGTAACAACAGCGCATACTTTTCAAAAGCAAAAGACGATAGCATGGACGCTTCTATGAAAGAGCCAGACAATGCTTCCGCACAATATGGCTCAAACTTGCCTACAAAGTGGACAGCTCCTGCATCTCACCGCGGTGTCCATGGGCTGCAACCCTGAGGTTGCGTCGGCAGAATGCTCTGAAGAGCCACTAGACACTGCTCCGTGTTCCTCTCCATTGTCCTCGGAGAAGCTCATCCCGTCCGAGTAGGCCACCGCACCCTCCTCTGCAGGACTGCTTCCCTGCGCCCCGGCTGCGCTCCTCTGGCTCGCAGGCGATTCGGTTCCTTGGACAGGACTGTGATCAACGTCTCCAGAGTTTCCGCTGACTGTCCTACCTCTTCCCTGTTTGCGTCTTCCTGTTGCACCACCTCTGCCGCCTCTGCCTCCTTGTCCTCCTCCTGGTTTGCCTCCTCCTCTTGCAGGACCACCGCCGCCACTGCCTCCGCCTCTGCCTCCGCGTCCTCCTCCCTTTCTGGCTGGAGGCCCTTCCCCATTGTTGTTGCCTTTGTCCCCCTCTGAGTCCCCATCGTCATCGCCTTCCGAAAACCCGCTTGGCTGGGGTTCATGTGGGCCCTTCAGCACCCTTTTAATCACCGAGCATAGACGCAGCGAAAGCACGCGGTCCAGGACACAGACTAAGGACAACAAATCGCACAGGCCCCTCACATAGAACTGATCTGCTGACTCCAGCCCTTTGCCGCTGTCCATTCGCTTGCTTAACATGACCCCAAATTCTAAAATTTGTGGAAGCGTCAGCTCAGAAGTGTCCGAGCCATAGTGCTTCTGCACTTCGAAGGCCAACGCCGTGTGAGCTCCAGCGAGCCGGAGCACTGGTGAGGTGTCTTTGTGGCGATTGAACTCTGTTGTGAGAGGGTCCGATACAGTCCCTCCTGGTGTGGCCTCGCCTGCGGACCTTTCGTTCCAGGGAGGATTGCAGACTGTTTTGGGCTGGTTTTGCGCAACAGGCTCAACAGCGAAACCAGGGAAATCTTCCCAAAAGGATTCGTGATGGCTAAGAGAACCTTCCATGTCGTCGCGTCGAGCATGGGTGACCTGCGAACTGCCGGGAGACCCCAGGTCGCCGACTGGCTCCCTTTGATTTGCATCTGGATTGATAGGAAAGGAAGGGAGAATGAAGGTGAGGATCGCTGTAAATCAGCAGACCCAGCAAGGCGACACATCCGGCCCTTCCGCCATGTTGTTGGCAATTGGTTGCTTGTTATTGTTTGCTCAAGCAATGACTGCTGGCATACTTTTGATACAGAAATCATGCATTGTTTAGCTCCCAGATCAGAGCAAAGTGACTGCCAAAGAGCTGTAGCCTTCATAAGGCGTCACGCAGAAACTCACAATTCTTAGCGAAAGGTCGTGAGGGAGCGCTCTCGGATATTGCTCACAGATTCTTCCGAAAAGGTGAAGGCTTTGGTGCCCCTTCAACTAGCCAAGACATGAGGTCGCTATTGGAAGAGTATATCAAGTCAAATTCATAAGAATCTCAAAGTGATGCACTGCTGCAACATTGCTCTGGAAGAGAGGTTTTGAGGAGCTTGCTGTCAAGCTAAGTTGCCACTATACCCAGCCTAGATGGAAATACACACAGCCGAGGTGGTATCTGGCTGCTCATAACAGAAACTTCGCTGTGCTTTTGAGCAGGGAAACCAATAAGGTACTGCAGATTACCTTTGACTTTACGCGGAGAAGACGCCCGCCCAGGTAGACAACCAGGCTCCGGCACAGCAACATCCCCCACTCCTAGCTCCCCAATTAAGAATTCTTGCAAGTGAAGCTTTTGCTCGCGTCCAAAATCCTCAAGCTCTGCTGTGAGCGTCTCTGTACAAGTGCCGATGACCTTTGTTGACACCTGTTGCCAGTGTCTCTGGCTCCATTTCCATCCTGTAGAGGGGGACTCCTCCCGACAGATGTCTAAAACTGCAGAGACCAACTTTGCAGCATGAACTTTGATAGGAACCCCTGGCTTATACACAGCATTGGCTTGTGGTTGGTCCCCATCAACCAATTCCACCACACGCTTCTGACTTTTCCCAAGTGGCCAGAACGACCTCTCGGCGACAAAGAAATTGTTTGGGAGGTGCCCCTGGCGCCTCCAGAACTTCTTGAGCTTCTCAAAGATACTCTTTTCCCCCTCTGTCAAATTAATCAAACCGTTTCTTAGCGCTTCCTCTTCTTGACAGAACGCGGCTTCTGCCATACTATCTACTGTTGAATATAGCAACCTCTCAGATTGTCAGATCAAAGAAAGACCGCCCGAAGGTATGGTCCAGACGCATTTATTCAGCCAAGTCCTTTGTAGTTGGTACATCGCACAAGCACCCTCTGAAACGTCAGGACTCTGAAGACAGCAATAATCATGGCAATAAACAGCAAGCTTCCCAGGGAAGTTCCCTCTTAAAAAAGTTGTCAACATCTTCTCATCTACGAGTCCGACACGTCCAGCACCCGGCACAAACAAATGTTCAGCTCCGACGCTCATCGCCGGAGTCGATCTTCGACCGCCATCGACTGACGTCAAAGATCCGAGAGATGCGGATCGATCGACCTCGTAGACTCTGGCAACCCCCGCTTCAATTAAAATAGGCGCCCGGGAGACAAGTAAGGTTGGCTTGGTGGTTAGGGCGGGGTTGGGTCCAGAGCGAGTATTTCTGTTGGTTAGGATTTTTTGTTTGCTTGCCCGGTTGGTTCGGATCTCAAAAGAATCTTTTCTAACGTGAAATGTAAGTTTCGAGTGTACTTCGCAATTAATGATGCAATTATTGGACAGTCGTCGCCTTCGGGCTATGGAGCCCGAGCCTACCGATGCCTCAAGATCCAGCTTTGAAGGAGCTCCTGCGGAGCCTACGACAGCCCGGGGCGTCTCGGACCGATGGCTGTCACGGCCGGCGGCAGTGAGTGTAGGGTGTGTATATTCGCTCGCAGTCATGTTGTGCATCGATGATCGATCGACTGCATCGATCGGCTCCGTTCGGACTTGGCAGTCAGCCCGACAGCCAGCTTCCTGAGTGCTTCCTCGTGGTCGAGCTTGATCAATACTCATGAGATCATGAGCTCATTAAAAACGAGTTTACAACCAATAGAGAATCCGACCAGCTTTTTTCAAAAGCGCTTGATGCAGAGAGGCACCTGTAATTTAGTTATCCAGCCAGGACTGGAGTGCCGACATGTGCGGGCGCCGGCGCCGTGCAAGAGAAATATGAGGCTGTTGGCGCCGTCCGATTGCAAAGGCGGGTAGTGCAGCAAATCAGCTTCCGACGCCCCCTCAGATTGATTCTTCAGTTAAGTTTGTACACAGCTTGCTAGAGCAGATTCTTGAGCTTTTCAGCGCTCTGCTTGCACACAAAGTCAGGCTATCTACAAGCTCCCTAAAGCTGGGAACAGGAGATGGCCTCCCTCGCAGTACAGAATAGAAAGGGAGAAGGCGAGATGGCCCAACTGAAGCAAGTGATTCATGAAGGAAAGGTGTCACCTGAATATGTCACCGTCCTGCTCAAGATCGTAAGCTCTCCCCACGTGGCTGCACTCAAGTAAGTTCTTCCACATGATTCAGGTCCAGCATTACTTTATTCTGGGTGCGTAAGCATGCAGCTGGGATCCCCTTTCAAGTTTGAAGTTTGAACGCTGTATGTGATTTGTGCTTGCTACATCAATTGCTCAATTGAGGAATCGTTACGCACAGCAAGGCAGTCCTTGGACATCCATTTTTTGACAATTCAGAATGAGATGATCCTGTGTCAACTTGTCGTGTGCAAGCATATATGTTCCTGGTTCTGATGACTTAGGCGATCACACGGGATAGGCTCGTCACCAAGCTGCAAGACTGCAATCTGATGAAGGCAACCGGCAACTCAGAGGAGAAGCTCTCATACAGCGAATATATTGCAAAGCAACGTTGTTCTTGAACGCGCTTCCCTGGATCTTGGCAGCTGAGCTTGCCTTCTCTCAGACTTCAAGAGCCCTGGTTTCTCACATAGAGGAGCTATGACGTAAGCTTTCTCGGCTTCAGAGTGATCGAGCTGGAGTCTAACGAGGACCTTGTTGGATATTGAGACCCGGGCCTCACATCACTTCCAGGAGTCTTTCGGTCACCGAGGCAGCTCCTCTCGGCAGACGAAGGCTGAGGCCTGCAGCCACGGTCTTCCATGGAGTGGCGACGTCTGCAGCTTTGAAATCAGTGCTGCTGAAAATGTTCCAGCCCTACCAGAAGTCTGTTGGCAAGGTAAGAGTAAATACTTGAGTCTGGGTAAATCTGCTACTAGCAGCCAATTCCTTAAGTTCTGTGATACTTCAGATTGAGGACGACAATAGAGGCATTGGATAATGTAACATCGAGGCATGAAGAGTCATGGGGCCCTAATTGCTTGCAAGGCTCGAGTGCTTCGTAAATTGCACGAAGTATGGGAAGTTTTACTTTAGCACGCGTCTCCTTTCGACGCTGCAGAAGGAAGCAAAGTGGGAGGATTTCGTCTCGGAAGAACGGAAGGAGAAGCTCCTGCTGAAGAAGGAGGAGAAAGAAGAGGCGAAGAAGGACAAGGTGGCTGCGGAAGAGGAGTCAGACAAGTCGCCCGCGAAGCCGACGCCCAAGAAAGAGAAGCAGCCCAAAGCCGTGGGGCGCGGTCAGGAGATCACAAAGGCCGAGTGCCTGGACGGCATCGACTTCCTGCTCGGGAAGGCGGCTGATGACGCGGCGTTGCTGGCCGATTTCCAGGCCGCCTTCGACGGCCCGGATGTCGAAAAAGTGGGGCCCCACACACTGGCCAGACTCTACCTGGTCTTTCAAGCAATGGAGGACGCGCTTGCTGCGCGCGCGCCGCTGCTGCCCGCAGTCGCGGACGACCCGCCGGCGCCCTTGACCCCGCAGGTGAGAAGAGCTCTGGTTCAGAATAGAAATTCTGAGCGTGTCCTTCGACCCGGTTTGGAAACACCGCATTGGATCCGAGGACGTCACATTTGAGTCTCGTATGGTCACAGGTTCGTCGTTTGCATCTTCCAGGTAGCCCTCCATGTATCTTGGATTTTACAGTCTTGCTCTTGCAGGGAGGCCGTCTTGAAAAACGAGAGGGCGCGTTGCTTCGAAACTATCTTACTCAAATGAATGTAGAACAGATTGCTTTGAGAAGGAGAAACCCTCAGTTCTGCTAAAAGGGCTCACCCTGTCACTGATGGCTGAAGCAAACCTTGAAACCGAATTTTTCTTCCTTCGAGGCACGTGCATACTGCTCCCACGATCGGACGGAACCAAACTTCACACAGTGGCTGATCTCCGTTTTGCGAATTCTTTGATGTAGGGGGACGAAGCTCCCGACTCTCAACCCCATGAGGGTGAAGACTGGCCAACCGACATGAGCGTCGATGGTTCCCCTTCAACCGAGGGGTCTTCTGACTTCTCCATTGACAGCCTGTCTCTGACGGCGACGGACGATACGTTCCCAATTAGTGAGCAGGTGAGCTGAGAAAAACTCTCGAGAAGGGACACCGCCTCTCTTGTCGTTCCTCTGTCATCGTTCAAACTCATTTTCTGCAGTTGGCGCCCATTATTGAAAGCCAGGCAGGATCGCGGATAACGGGCGCTCCACGTGCAAGAGAGTGGCATTCCGATATTTGAGGACGTCAATTCGTGACAACCTACGTAATGAGGACGGTTAAGTTCGTTTTGCGAGTACCGTCTCCGCTTCGCAAAGCTCGTGTGTGATGTACTCCCGGGCGTCCTCGAGCTGACTGTGCATGTCCGGTCTCGCAGCCTGCGACACGTGCCCCAGCGCTCTTCATCCCCGTCGATCCCGACGCCCCCTACGCAGGCCCACCCGCAGCAACATTCGGAGGGCTCGGCGATTTGGCTGCTGAAGACTGGTCGCCGTTGATTCTGAATCCCAGAGCCCCGGCTTGGGTGAGGACGCTTTGAGCCTTTGACCAGTGCACGCGAACTTCGCGGCAAGCTCTTTGCAAAAACAAGGCAGCTAGAGCAACCTTGCCCGCTGCCGCCACGAGCCGCACTAGCGACCATGTGGGATATAAAATCACCACACGAGAAAATTTCCTTGTCTCAAGCGAATCATAGAGATCAAACTCAGCGATTACATCAGAACAAGGTGGGCGCGCGGCGCGCGAGGTGCGCCCAGGGGCAGAGCTGTGCTAACGTCGAACCCGGAGCATCATGCTGCCGTCATGGCTTCCTGTTGTGAAATCAGCTTCGCTTGATCTGAACAGCACAGTCTCAGACGGTTCCTTCTTGAAAATGTCAGCCAATCCCCTTTCGCTTACAGCAGCCTCTGAAACAAAATCGGTTCTCCCTCCATTGGCTCGGCTTGTCACTCCTCGCTTGGGCAATCTTTCTTCAACTGAGGGACCTGTCGATTCACGTGCTCCAACGCGCTAGTAGTATCTACCATACAGTGGCTGACTTACGTTCTTCGGATGCTCTGATGTAGGTGGAGGAAGTACCCGAAACTCCAACCCTTGACGGCGTAGACTGGCGTAGCGACATGAGCGTCGAAGGGTTCCTCTCGGGCGAGGGGTCGACCTGCTTCGATTTCGACAACCTGATGGCGACCAGTCAGACGCTTGCAACCATTGAGAAGGTGAGCTGAGGGACCTGTCAAGAAGGGACACCGCCTTTCAATTGACATTGTTTCCCGCTATTCTTCTGCCGTCTCTTGGCCGTCACTGAAAGCCAGGCAGAGCCGCGGGAAGCGGGCGCTCCACGTTTGATGGATGGCAGGCTTTCAGTGATGAGGTCACAGGTCGTTTCAAGGAACTCAATTGGAAGCGCTCTGCGGGAATCGTTTTCCGCGTGGTAAGCTTGTGCTTGATGCAACCTGAAATCTACTCCAAAGCGTCCTCAAGCTGACTGTGCATAGCCGGTCTCGCAGCCGGCGACACGTGCCCCAACGTTCTTTATCGCCGTCGATCCCGACGCCCCCCAGGCGGGCCCACCCGCAACATCATTCGAAGGGCTCGGCGACTCGGCTGCTGAAGAGTGGTCGCCGTTACTTTTGAACCCCAGAGCCCCAGCTTGGGTGAGGAAGCTTTGAGCCTTTGATCAGTGCACGTGAACTCCGCAAGAACAGGCAGCCAGATCAGGCAGCTGCGCCGACCACGCACACATCGCGTTGCCAGCGTTAAGAGCATGTGTCTCGACAACGGTCCAACTTTTGGCAACCTGAGCAAAGAAGCGTACCCTAATTCCAGGCAACAAGCACGGCTCCAGCTAGTTTCAAAGGTCGGTCCGCTTAAGCGAACTTCACGTCCAACTTCATACTAGGGCAGCCGTGGCAGAGCTCATGGTTGTGTCGTGACGTTCCAAGTGCTGCGCGTTGATTGATGGGTCTAAACGGACGTCCCTCTTTGACTTTGATATTGAACTGATCCGCGACGGTGCCTTTTGCCAGGTGAACGCAATCTACTCTCGCTTCGAGCTCTGAAGTGAGCGGCCCCTTCCGCGCAGAACGAAGGCACGTTGGCACCAAGCGGCGTGCGGCGTGATTTAAACTAAAAGGCGAGGCGAAGAGGAGAGGGCATATAATGGTGCCGCAATAGTAACTGTACAGTAATGACTGAATGCATGTGTGGTTTGTTGTGTGGTGTGGTGCCAGTAAGAGGCGGCTAGCAATAGAGCTGTGCGATTCAGCTTGTTTTTGGAATACATATACTCTCCTTTCACATTGGCCCGTTAACCGAGTAGCGTGCATGAGTGAGTGACAGCGGACACTATACTTATACATAGCAATTCCTAAGCTCTATAGCAGTATTGAATTGTGTCGCTCTGAAAAAAGGATGTTTTAGGGATAGCGTATGCAATACACAGCGACTGGCTTTTTGAAGGATAAGGGTGAGATGAATTGGTGTCGGACTGCTTCCGTCGACAGTGTGAAAAATGTGAAAAGGAAGGTCGGAAGATGCACCACAAGGTGCATTATATGCAAACCTGCCTCGAGAAGTCGATCTCTGATAAACACGTGCCATGAGCCTCGGATTCAACCGCCATCTGGCGCGCAACTTATGTTCAGAGGCATTGCGGATGTTTAGTGCCACGCACCTTGCTTGTACCCCACAAAAAGTTCGAAGCGCTGATTCTAATTGTGCATGCTTGCGGCAAGAGATGCAACAGCAACATCAGGCCGTCCATTGTGATAGATCCTTTGTCCGAATCTGGTCCGAGCTGGTCAGACAGGGCTCGGACCAGGGCCGGACTGGTTCAGACAGATTCTGGACAAAGGTCGGACCTGCTTCAGACCGCAACATGTGGCCGACTAAATTTACGGACACGTGCCGGACGATTTCCGCTGTCTGTAGGCTGTCCGGATGACGTCCGACACACTGCGTATAACATTGATTTGACGCCTTACGATTCATACATGATGTCCGTAACAAGTCCGAGCACTGTCCGAACACGGTCTCAGCTCATTCCGAGGCGAGTCTGGATGCATACGAGGCGCGGTCGCTTTGAGCCTGCAAACACTTGTATGTACGATGTACGAACAAGGTCCGAAGAAGATCCGAGTTTGTCCTATTCAGGACGGTTCAGGGAGGTTCTTCTCAACGGTCTCCTCAACTTTGCCTGACTGCCGTCTCGACCTCTTCAAGTTCTGCAAGGAATCTGATCGATTTGGACCAATATCTGAGCTACGAGGTCAATAGACTGTAAGAGCCCTTGCCGAATTCCAGGTCTTTCAGAAAGTAATTAGAACTTCACTCCAACGTGCACATTCAAGCCACTTAGCTTCCGGACTCTCGTACTTGCTCGGCCAGGCGCCTCAGAGCTGCGGGCGCGAACGATCTCCAGTCACTAGCTGTTGGCCAATGAACAGAATGAGGCGATGGACGGATTCCCTCTTCTTCGTGACTTGGGCGCGCTCGAAAGGGGTCTTGTCAACCTGCGAGGATGGATTTCGGAGCGAAGAGCAAATTGATAGCTTTCCTGGGCGATTGTTGAAGTACTCCGGGTGACATGACGGACGATCGGCCGGGGAGCAGATTCAAGGGCAGACTTGCATACTCCTTCAACCTTTCCTGAAGGGGGACAGAGCTTTGTGGAGCGCCGGGTCCCTTCCTGCGGAAAAGTGCTGCACATTCAACTTTGCCTGTTACGACGTGACAAGGACTATCAAATTTCTCGTCGTCAGTGCCGTGCCGCCAGAAGTACTTGAAGGCAGGCCTTCTCGTACGGCCAGAAAGGCCCCACTCGAAATAAGAAAAGGGCTTCTGCAAAGACAACTGTACCATCGTGGAAAACTTAAGACGTCCTCCTCCCGTGTCGACCCTGATGCAAAGAACCCAACGATTATCTTTGACGTTATTGGCCGGAACGACTCTCCCTCAATTTCCATTTTACGTGCTTCGAGAGTTTACGGAAAAGGTTACCTTCTGATAAAGACAGAACCGATCGTGATGAGTGCACTGTCCAGATTTATAACTGCTGTTTCTGGTCGGGCAATCGCAGGCGGTCTGAAATCACAATCGATCGGGTTGGCCAGTCGTGGCTCGGGGTCGTCATGTGTTTGTTGAGCAGACCTTTCCCAATTGCATCTTTCCTGCACGTGGATGTTGCATCTAGGCAAAGCCAGCTGTCGCTTTTTGAACCCTGACTTCAGATTGAATACTCGTCGGTTTCAGGGGGTTTGGAAGAGTGCTGTTTGGCCCTTGCATCTTTCTCTACGATGTTTTGCTGACGTGATCCTCGATCATGGGAGGAAGAATCTGACGAACGCGTTTATGTTTCCAATGAGCCCATTTCTGCGATATCTCAAAGGCAGGAGCTCAGTACTGAAGTTCAGTCCTGATGCGTTGCTCCTTTTCAGAGGCACTCAATCGATGACGTCAGGAATCCACCCCTGCAAGAAAGTGTCTGTCGAACCTGGGGACCTTCAAGAAGCCAGACATTCCTAAGAATCATTAGTTCGCCCTTTGCATGTCGTCCGGCTGGTCGTCAGCTTCGCGAGAGAAGTCGTCCAGCATCACGCCTGATTCTGCATTTTCACCTGTGACATCCTGGCACAGAACGTGCTCTTCGAACATGTGATGGTCGCGGCAATCCTGGGGTGCGGCAAGTGCTGGATGGAGGGGTGCAAATACGAAGGGTGCGGCCTTCGCACGTTCTTCGTCGGTCATGCGCGTCCGGCACCGCAGCACATCTTGGGGGGCCCGGGAAGGGAGATCTTTGCACAGGCCCCCCCGAATCTGACGCACCAGAAGCACGTGCTACGGAATGGAACCGCGATTCAAAACGGTCGGAAGCACCATAAATCAGCAAATCAGGACCCGGATTCATGACGGTCTTCAAAAAGACTTCAAGAACGCTTCCGGGTGAAGAGTCTCGTTCCTATGAACATACGCGCTCTGAATATATTCAGAATATGGGGATCACTGTATCGACTTTGAAAGTCCTTTTCAAGGTTGGTGCTGGCCACTTAAGCCGCCTTGCCCATACTGAGAAGCAAGCGTACTTAAAACTGGGTCTCGATTCACATTGAACCGGAGAAGCATCCTGGCGTGAAGGGGGTGTGCTGCTGCATCGCAAAGATGCTGGCGTACTTCAATGTCTTGAAGGGGTTTCCCTTTCACCTTTTAATATAGCGGTGGGGCACGCATTTGTGCTCGGAGTGGTGTCCGTTTTCTTCGATACCGTTTTGGTGGATAATGATCAGACGGAGGGGGAGCCCCCGGACCATGATGTGATTACGAAGGCAAACCGACGATCAGATGAGCGTGCGGCACGGAAGCTCGACAACGGCACTGTCGGACACTGCTGTATGGACAAGTTCCGGATTGGACAACGTCCGGCGGCACCGTCCAGTCGTGCATGTCTGCTTTCGGTCTCATGAGTCGTGACAGCTGTCGGAGCACCGTCACTCTGAGGGATACTAGGGGTTTCGGATAGAGCCCATGGCCAGCTGCTGCAGACTCCGTCCGGACAGAAGGCTTTTTCTAGGTGCGAGGTAGGAGGTCCTAGCAGTTGGTACCGTCGAGTTAGTCGGTAACCCTAAGGGGTAACCAGAATTGTGGACCAGTGGATACCGGTATGTACCTAACGGTACCCATGAATGCATTATGCAGCTTGGCACGTTGAACTTGATCCTGCGTGCAGACTGAGAGCTCTAGCTTCACAGAGCTCTACGCAGCTACTGTAACAGCTGTAATGCGATAGCTGCGCTACTCCACAGTGAAGCAGTGTGGGAAGAAACATTCCTGAAATTCAAACTCGGAAGGACTTGCCGTTCGTAGAATGGTGGCTGAGGGTTTGATTTCTCAGAGTCTCAGATTTTGGGGGGAAGCAAGGCAGGGATCTCTTCAGAATGCTTTACCCGGAAGTTGATTTGCAGCTCAGGCGTTGGCTGCATTGAGCTGTTGAGGCTTCAAATGGATGCACCAAATGCAACCAGCGCTGATGCAAGTGCCAAACTCTTACCATCGGCGCAATACGATGCTTCTGACAACATCAACATTAGCACTTTTGAGAGCAACATCAAAAGTTTGTATGATGAGCAAAGGGACCTGGTCAACCAAGGCCACAGCCGAAGTTTTGCTCTCCTTACGGTGTATCTGTCCCTGTTTGTGTTTTGCCTCAATTTCATCTTCACCAATGGGCTTGTTGGCAGGGCCGATTGCTGCTCATCATCTCCCTTCGCAAATCTGCAGCAGTCTGCGGCTTTCTCCTTTGATTGCTGCGCGTTGGGCAAACAAGTGGAGGTCTTTACCAAGCTCTTATCTAGCGACAGCGGCGATCCTGCTGTGGAATTATCGCCCACAATCACCCAGCTTCCAACCTGCTGCCACGATCCGGATGGTGCACACCAGTTCAAGGGGTGTATCTTGGCCCCAGACCGTGCGCTCAATCTGAGCATCATTTGTGGGACCGGGGGCCAGGAAAGCCAGGTCGTGTTCAATTTGCCAATTCCAGAAGACAGTACAATCCCCGATGATTTTGAGCAGTTGGTCAACATTCTGCTTATCATGTATCAGGGGTGTCTCGTGGACAAGACTAGCGCTCAATTAAAGGGACTGGGGACGGTCCTTTTCGCGTTCCTAGTTTTCATGGGTGCGACCCTGACGTTGTTTGCCATCGACCAGAGCCTATCTGGGGCAGTCTCCAAAAGAAAAGTCGTCCTCTTTCGGGCGTTCATGCAAGGGGGGACTTCTAAAGAATTGGAGGACAATCATTTTATGAAGACTGATGGGGGCGGGTGGCGACTTTCAAAGGACTTGTTGCTCCTCCTCATATCCTCGGCACCTTTCTACATGGTGCCGATCCTGGCGTTCGTCATTGCTTTTGCAATAGCGGGCCTCATCTGGTCCACAAACAACTCTCAGTTTTGCGGGGAAATTGGTACGTTCTTTGGCTCATCATGGTGGATGTACCTGGCTATCGTCACCGCGGACGTCGTGGGTATATTGATTGTATACTTTGTCTTGGGGAACTGGCGGCTGAAGTATTACAAGGAGGAGATTAGGGACATTCAATGCAAGCTTGCAAAGCTTGCTGCTCGGGACGAACCAGCTGTAGAAGAGGGTGTAGCACAGCAAATTAGGCCGGAGAATGAGTCAAATGTGCAAGTGGGGGAACTTGAGTTATTGACTGGGTCCTCACGGTCGTAAAGTATAGCCTCAGACAACCAAAGCTGAAGATGCTGACACAAGTTTTAAAGAGGTGTTGAGGTTAGTAATTAAGTTGGAAGCATGTCGCACTAAATCAATTGTCAATTAATGAAAGTCAAAGAGTGGCAGATCTTGGAGCTTGCAGCTTTGCTCCCCTCTGAAAGCTCAGACCTTGATGTCGAGTAGTTGACATTGAGGGTCACTGAGAACCATTCTGCCCAAATGATGTCTGTGACATTGTCTCCAACATCCGACTTTTAGGGGTGGACTCAATGCTTATGTGGTTCGGACCAAGCCTGACAATCATACAGTCATTGCCATGGAACTGAGCACGTCCGACGGCATTATATAGCTGTCACTATCTCCAACGCATACTTTTGATTGCGGCCCCTGCAGCCCACTAACCAATGTATGCAGACGGTCAGCATATGCAGATCGTGAGTCAGGCTTGCAGTTGAATTCATAAGCGGGCGGCGCCATCGCGCGGCATTCATCGAACTCATCGGTGTACATGGGCAATATATGCCAGGATTTATACTAGATCCGTTGCATGTTCGTTGCAGGCCGTCGGACGGTCATAGCACATGATATACGTCACTGCCCGTCTTATCCATTGAATCAGTATGAATTAACATAGTCCTAGATGCAAATCCTAAATTTCCGGCTCGGCTCATGCATGGGCAATCAGATTGTAGCTGCTGAGCTGCGCAAACGGCCATGATTTGGGTAATTGAACCTGGTCAGGTTCGCCCAAAATCGGCGGCAGCTGATCTGAATAATGTGGGCCCCGCCGCAGCAGTGCTTACGGTGTTTGACTTATACGTGACTTTGCAGCTGACGCAATATATCAGGCATTAATAGCATTATACGCAACTTCGTGTGCTCACATGGATTCAATGCGCTTTCAACGGTTTGTTAGACACGAATCAAGGGTCAGAGTTTTCTTTGATAAGTGCGCAAAATACTAGATCCGCAAAAGAGTTTGTGGAATACCCAAATCCATGTTCAAGCAAGCTCGTATGAAAGTTGGTGCGAAGCAGCATATGTACAGACAATCCGAAGCACGCTAACTCAAACTCGTCCGGCCCACAGGCACTCGTTCCTCTCTCCGGCGTGTAAAAGTTGCTTCACTGCTTTAGGGGGATGGAGCCCGAGACGCTCCGCCCGTTCCCACCGCTCTAAGCGCGTGGTGGATAGGCACGGCCCGAACTTGTAGTCGAGATCGAAGTCCCGAAGCATCTGCTCCGCGGGGTCTACCTCGTCCTCTGCGAAGAAAAGGAAGAAGCAGGAAGTTTGAGTCTCAGACCTGCCTTTTGAGCGGATGACTGCGGGAATCTGGTTGAGATGATTGAGATGATGAACTGGAAAACGTGAGATGCGTTTTGAACCTTCTTCTGACCCTAGATGCCGTCACGAAAGGGAGTGGAACCGGCTTGGATTACAGATCAAATCCGCAGAATAAACTCCTTCTTGTTAAGGCGATATCAAACAGAAAGAGGTGAGACGCGTTTTGGACCAGTCTGTGAATCAAAAGCTGTACTTAGTGCAGGATACTGGTCACTGCGATGCACTGCCCGTTTCAGTAAGGAGAATTCTAAAAGCTCCGCCCTCAAGCGATTCTTACGCCCCACTGTCTGTGCTGAAGTGACGTACAAGGAAGGAATGATACAATCCGGCCAATCAGCAATCTGGAACAGAGAAGTTCGAAACCACCGCAGCCCCAACTTGAAGTAATATGGAACGTAGATAGCAGTGGCTACGTGAGTGTGCAGATGTTAACACACTCTAGGCTGGACTGCGCCAAGGCCCCAAAAAGCTCATGAAATCTTCAACAGAAAAGAAGATCAGAAAATTTTCCAAGAAGCCATCACCGATCAAGGCAAAGCCGTCGAATGTTTGATTATGCGTACAGGGTATGCCTTATGAAATTCGGGCAAGCAAGGGCTTGCCGAGAACAACTACAGTAGGTACAAGAGGAGAGAGAAACTGAACATGTAAGTTCCGAAACGGAAATGCAATCCAGTCATCTGGTTAGGCTAGGTTGTCTTGGGAAGTTTGATCATTCCCCTCAAGGAGACGGCACGGTGCATGCTGGACCTCAAAAATCTGCCTGGAATGATGCTCTGTCCCCCAAGGCTTTTGCCAACACCACACATTAAATCGCCTTCAGCTTGCTTAATCCTGACGCCAACACTTCACCACGTGATAGAGATGGGTCAAGCAACCGCGTGGCTGGGGGGCAATCTGCATTGCAAGGTCAACCAACTTCTCATCACACTAAGAGTTGAAGACACGATGTCACTGGTCAAGTCACTTCAGAAAGCCTGACATCCTCCTTCCTTACATGCTCTGATATTCCCCAAGTGGAACTCAAGAGGCTGTCTATAAGAGTGTCTACAATCCTTTGATTCCACCCAGTCGGCATAATTCACAAAGTCGGCTGCAACATCGGTGGACACAACGCGCTACGATGCTGCGCACAATAAGCGCCAGCTGTCGAAGTCTTCCGCACATGCCAGTGGGATGGAGCGCACAGTGCGAAGCAATTGCAATCGCAGAACTTCCGAAGGCGGGCCCGAAAGGGCCATTTGAGAGGCTTGCAGACTTTGAAGGAAGTCAAATCCCGTCTTTGGACACCCGCCAAGTAACGCTGACAGAATCTGTTGACTGCGCTTTGAGCGTCACGCTCATTCTGCAGTTCAGGGGTCCAGTCAAAGCCCACCCCAGGCACCCTGTGAACCAGAACTGCTACTTATAATCTGTCCTTCCTATGATGCAGATAGGCTTTCCGCGCTTCCATCTCGAAAAAAAGATTCCAGTGGGCACATTCTGTGGCGACAGAGGTGGGGCACATGAAATACTGCACCCAAATTAGTCGCCATCCGAAGCACATAGGAACCGCCTCCGACTGCCCACTGATGTAACCAGATGCTGCCCGCCCGCTTTGATACGCACATCACAGAAAACCAGCTCGCTGTAATACGGAACAGAGCACTCCAAAAGACACCAGCTATGGAGGGGGAATCCAACCCGCCAATTTCTTGCTAGATTCGGAAACTCCTGAAGTCGCTGTGGACAATGTCACTGCAAAGAGGCTGCCACCTGTCCATCCCCTGCTTCTCAGGGTTGCCCGGTGCCCTTTCTTACCGTCGCTTGCTTCCAGCCCGTATGCCCCCACGGACCCCAAGCTCGCCCCCTCCCTCCCTGTCGCTTGCCGCACATCCAACTCTGCCTCAAGAAACCCATCATTTGCCGGTTGAGCGGATTTCTGTTCCTCCCGGCTGGCGGCCTGGCTGCTCTGGCTGAGCTTCGACTGTTTCCGGCCGCCAGCGGCGGCCCCACGGGGCTTCCGCAGCTGGAAGAAGTCGCCCAGAGATTTTTGGGAGCTCATCTTGGAAGCGGTGTGATTGCAGACAGGGCTCTGATCAGCAGAATGCAGCGAAGAACGTCAGGCTGCGGGAAACTTGCTCGCTGCACAGCTGGCGAGCAGCCTGTCTGCAAAGCCTCGGCCCTGCAACTAGCACAAAGGATGGAGCGGTCTGTAACAGTCCCCGTCTTCTTTCCACCGCCTTTCAATCCGCCCGCTTTCTTGCTCTTTCCTGTGTTCGCTGCCTCCTTCCCCTCGGGCCTCAGGCCGCATGCATAACGTGAGCTGTTGCCCTCAGGCAGCGTCAGGCTGCCCAAACCCTAACCAGGGGGTCCAGTCAACCAGCAGCGCTAACCTTCTGCCCGTTAGGATCCTCGGCCCTGAGTAGCGGTTCGATCCGGCAATCGATCGACGGTTGACATAGCAACGGTTTTGAACCCGTCCGATGATCACACAAAGCAACGGTAGTCGTTCGCTAAAACTCCACGGTCGCGAGTACCGACCAAAACCCCAAACCTCGGGCCAGCTGAGGCGCCCGCCGCAGTTCCGCGGTCATTACCTGGCGCGGCCGCCGCGTGACTGTAGGCGCCGCGGCGCGCGGCGCCCGGGGCTAGCTGCACTCTCGGATAAGTGTCTCCGTGGCAAATGTCCGCGCAAAGGATCGTCGGCAGCCGAGAACAACGCTCTTTCCACTGACTCTGATTCCTGAAAGGTCTGGGAGCACCGGACGGGGCCGACCAGAAGCTTGCCGCCACGGCCCCCACTGGGGGGTCTCAGAGAAGTGAAAGAACATCAAATGATATTTTGACACAGATCTGCTAAAGCTTGCTAGTAGTGAGTAAACCTGAGGTGCAACCAGGATGGGAGGCACTTCACCAGATTCTCGTGGAGAAATACGGACAACGGAGAGCGAAATCACGGCAATACATGAAGCATACGTGAGATACATGGAGGTACAAAAAGCGGAGAAAATGGAGAAGAAGAGGAGGGATGAGGAGATGCACAGGAAGGTGGCTAACTACTTTGAGAGCTTCGCTTGTTTCAAGCTCTTCAGAAAAGCAAAGCCTGAAAGATAAGTTTTAATACGCCCAGTGATTAAGGATGTCACGATCATAGCGTTCGCACTTGAACATGTTTGCGTAACATTGATCGCGTTAATGTAAGTGACATGAGTAGAAACTATGTGAGAGTTGCAGTAGCTCTACTAGCAGCCTCTGCGACTCGGTCGATGAAAGTTTTTCAAACATTCCTCAGGGTCCGTTTGGTATGAAGTTCAGCTGGTATGTCATTTGACACCAGGAAAGTAATAACCTGATGTCTTTACTGAAATAGTGCGGCTTTTTCTTGTTGGCCTGCACTTGTATGAGCATTTACAAATCTCTGCCCAGCTCACCTTTATATATCATGTACGTTTCAGTCTTTTCAAATGATCAGCCACAGATGCATCGACTATGGCGAAGAATTTTTGCCACGGGGGGGCGGTCCGATCAATGATCACGCCAACGTCCGCTCGATGTTAGACTGCTTCGAATTGACGCTTGTATCAGTGAAATTTATGTCAACTATATCCAAGTGATCAGGTTTGATCAATCGATCAGTCAACGGCCCTCGACACTTGCTGAAAGGTGATTTGCAATTCAATACGGTGCTCAAGCTAGCTGCAAAATAGTCACGAGATCAGTTGCTAGCCATTGATGTTTAAAAGTCGCGAAACGGATGTTGCTTGTTTGCTAAAAGGCAATTCACCGGTTTGGAGGTGAGCCGCTGATGAATGGTTGTTGAACGGCTGATTCTCCAGCGACTGGTCCAATTAAGGTAAAACTGCGATTAGGTTCAACAAAGTCGCCTGAAAGCACACCTAGCCTCCCCCTCCTGCTCGATCCTCTTGGTCCTCAGTCGGGTACCATGTTGGATACCCACAGCAGGTTCAGCAGTTCCGACTGCCCAATTGATGACGTATGGAAAACTGAGACTGAATTTTCTACATGCACCTCGCCATGTGTAGATGCAGGAACGCCAATACTAAAGCTAAGGGTCACTAAACGGTATCGACGGTCTTTGAGGCAAAGACAATGCTGACCGGATAAGTGGCAAGGAAGTCGCCCCTCTAATATAGGAAGCTGAGCGACGTGACGTCGGACTCAGTGAGGTCCATCGAAGTATCCGTCCTGAGAAGCCTGAAGCCCTCTCAGTGGCTTTGAACAGTGACCAGAGCCTGTTTAAACTTGCCTGTGCTTGACCGGCCGCCCAGAATCTTAACATGCTATCCGCTTTTCAAGGGAATCGACAAGTCGACAAGGCTATATCATGTGCATTTTGTAATCTTGTTGCAGACCGAACTTAAGTTAGTAACTCTTGAAATTGCGCCCAAACACAAGCTCTGGAACTGCGACTTGGATCCATTATCGTGATTTTAAGCCTGGATCCGTGACAATTGATCAAATTGATTATAGTGGAGTACGCGATTGTTCTAAAAAGTCGACGGTCACTTGTATAAACCATTCTCATGCTTGAGGCCGGGGTCATTGAAATATCAGACCGTCGACAAAACGAACTTTGTGAACGGTTGCACCATGTGCACGCGATCGATTTGCGCGCCATGATCTGTGTCATGCCTCTGGCACCGTCGAAGTCTTCATCAACGGCGCGGCGGCAATCAAAGGTCAGTGATCTGATCCGCAAAGTGCCATTGCAGATGATCAATCTGCAGCTTTTTGATCATGGTACTAGTCACATATAATGACTGAAACATATATCTCGACGATGAAGATCGAGGCTGAGGTTTTATGATTTAATCTATGCAAATCTGACTCAGTTTCCGGCCCGAGCACATCATCGCATTCGAAGGTGTGTGAGTGCCACGGCGTGCCCATACCGGACCAGCTACGCACTTGATTGGCATTTGGTCAATTTGCATTTGTCATGTTACCTTGGCACCCGGTGACCATGGTTCATAGCAAACCTTTCCTGGAGTTCGCGGAAAGTCAGATTACGAAGCTCAACTGCGCACGCGGCAGAGGACATCTTTTATCCAGATTTAACATACTTTCTGTACGATCAATTCAATTCGACGGCAACGACTTGAAAGATCCGTACAGTGCCGGGCAAACTGCCGACCTTGAAGTTTCGCTGTCGCCTGCAATTCATCAGGATTCAATCGCCGGAAGAGACAATGCATCAATCTCACTGTCGAGTCCGATCGTAAGCACTACCCGTCCAAAACCCTAATTCGCACGGGACAACTCGAGACAAAACTTGGTGCTTGCGCTCTTCTTCTCTCGTTCCCTGTCTAAGGCCGGTGGGTTCTCAAGATTATCCAATCTCATAGTTATGCTTGTTATGTTCTCCCTTCGCTTTTGGGTAACGCTCTCATTTTAACCTCATATTACTTCGCCATCTTAGCTGCCAGCTCCCGGACAAACTTGGCGGCCACCATCGCCGTCATTGCTGCAGCACAAGCGAAGCGAGGGTCAGCATGGACAAATCTGACGTTCTACTCCTCTCCTGGCCATACGGGGGTTGCTTTTTCGCTTGACTTTAGACAAGGCGCCGAGGGTATGCGTCCTTGCCTTCCTATAGACTTCGGCACTATTAATCCTCGCTGGCAGTGTACCGTAGATACACTCAAAGACTTTCTAGGCGGGCCGTTCTGCTCCGCCAGGACAGGAACACTCAAAAGGGCATCACCACACCTCCTCTCCTGAAATTTGTGCAGTTTTGCCTCGCGGCACAAGCCACGTTTCCCTCTCATTAAGCACCGAAGTGACGCCGGAAGACACGAGTCCACAAGCTGTTAATAGAGACACTCTTACGGGCAGCAGCACGGGCAGCAGCATGGTTCCTTTCAACTAACCGGGCGCAGGGATTACGGCGGGCGTCGATAAAGAGCTTACGAGAAGGACAACACCGGGAAGCAAAGCATGAAACTAGCGGGCGAAACGCTAGGGTGGGTACCGTCAGAGCCATACGACGCATCCTTCAGACGAAGCGGCAAAGGAACCATTTCTGGCGACGAGAGAACAGGAATGTCGCTTTCGCGGTCGCTCCTTACGGTTAGTGTAATTCGCTTTGATTGATTGTGGCTTTCGCTACCCTGCTTTCCCTGCTGTAAATCAGGGGGACGTCTAAGCTCATTGCACCCTGAAGAGGCAGGGAGAATGCTGCTTCGAGACGAACCGCAAACACTTCGCGCCACCCTTCAATCCAGGTGGAGACCCCACTCTAACTCGTCCGAACGGGAGAACTTAACCTTTTCAGCTTTGAACTCATGCCTCCCTGTGGCCCGGTTTTGACGACCGGTGCACAGTGCAGATTATTTCGCAGACTCGGTCGTTGGCTAAACCTGGAATTTCTTCGAGCGTGCTCTGCTACGTCCAAACGGGGCGATCCGCATGCAGAACCATCAACGGCGAGAAAACTCACAGTCTCGGTCCCGTTGCGGGTTGTACTCGACGACGTCAGCGCCAATAATGTTCCCCTTGAGGTTGTGCAGCACGTTCATGACGTCACGGAAGGACATGCCGCCGGGCTCGTGGTGCGAGATGCCTGCGCGAAGCGACACGTGTCAACTTTTGAAAAGTGAGCTGCAGCGTATGCTTGCGCAAGAAGGTGGTATGCAAAGTACACGTGTATTCAACAATCCCCGGTCGGTTGAGGGACGGGAATCCACGCGCAGGATCTCGCCGAAATCTGGAGCGGCAAGTGGTCAACGATACGATGGAGCTTGCAGAACACTTTTCTCAACACTCGTACTTGGCGTGAATGCTTCTGATCGCGACCGATTTGCATGGAGGGGTGCGAAATTCGCTGCACCACCGCCCCTCGGCCTAAGCCTTTGCAGTCAAGTTCAAAAAGCGCTGAATTGTACCAAGATGCAATGATGTCTTTTTGCAGTGTCAGCTTTCATCAACCCCAGAGATTTGGAGACAATGCGCAGGATCAGGTAAGGGGTTACGCTCGGGTGAAATAAAAAAGAGCCCTGATATGCTCGACGTCTCCCCTTCTGTTTATGCGGTTCTTTACTACTAGATGAAGAGTACCACTGGGGTTATGCGGATGATCTGCGCCGCCTTTCACACCTGGTACAAACGCCGGGTCTAGAAACTTTCGACGTCGATGAACGTGTGCATGCCAGCTGACCCTCCCCGAGCGTCATCTTTTGCTGGTAGGCGGCAAACCCGCTGATTGTTTTACGCTAAAGAAGCAACCCCAATCCCAGCTGCCCACCTGGCACGAACGCAGGGTCCAGACAATCAATTGCAACGGAGAAATAAATGCCGGCCCAGCCCTCCAACAGCGTCACTCTTCGTCAATAAAACCGGAATTACCGGGTTGAAATACCGGGTTGAGCTCGTGCAGAATAAACGGAAAGAACAAAAGGGAAAAGCCTGACAGTCTCGATTCCAGTTTGCCTACCTGGCGCGGACATAGGTTCCGGGCAGCCGACGTCGATGGAGATCAGAGGCCGGCGCAGCCCTTCCGGACCGTCAGCTTTTGCAGACAAGCCGCACGATCACTGACGCAAAAGAAGTACTAGCGCAAAAAGAAAGAAAGAAGTAATTTAAGGGAAGGAGATTGATTTAGGAACCGTATTTAGAAACCCGTTTTGCCCCCTCGCGCATACGCAGTGTCTAGACAATCGACGTCGATAAAGCTGCGCCAGCCCGCTCCCAGCGTCACCTGCCGCAGGTACTTTGCAAATGCAGAATAGAAAAGCTGCCAAACAGAAAAAGACAATAAAATACAAAAAGGAAATAATCGCAGAATGGGATCGAATCCATCAAACCCACCTGGCGCGTACGCAGGGTCTAGACAATCGACATCGATGGACGTATAGACGCCGGCGCAGCCCTTCCCGATCGTCAACTTTCGCAGATATTTTGCAATTAGACAACAGTAAAGCTGCCAGGAAACATAAACAAGAAACAAATCGAATAGGAAAAGAAACTAATCTCAGAATAGGATCGACTCATCGAACCCACCTGACGCGTACGCAGGGTCTAGACAGTCGACGTCGATGGAGCGACCAACGCCAGAGCAGCCTTCTCAAAGCGTCACCTTTCGCAGACATTTTGCAATTACAGAACAGAAAAGCTGCCACGAAAACATAGAGACAAAAGATACTGATTCTAGAAAAAGTTCAAACCCGTCGAACCCACCTGGCGCATACGCAGGGTCTAGACAGTCGACGTCGATGGAGACATAGACGCCGGCGCAGCCTTCCCCGAGCGTCAGGTTTTCCAGGTACTCCCGGTGGTCCTCGTACGAGTGCATCTCGAACTGGCGTACACCAAATTTCTTGGCCTGCGCGCGGCCCTCGCCCGTGATTGAGCGTATTCCCACCTGAGAACCAAGACTTCAAACGTAAGCGAGAATGTTTCACGGGGCCTTTTCCCACTCGCGAGATGCTAAGAAGGGTGCTTGTTGGCCTGCGCGCGGCCCTCGCCCGTGATGGAGCGTATTCCCACCTGAAGTTGACACATGGATTATGTGTTTAAAAGCCTTTACGGAGCCCATTCCCACTTGCCAAATGAAAGGAACTGCACGGAGTGCTTCTTGGCCTGTGCACGGCCCTCGCCCGTAATGGAGCGTATTCCCACCTGCACTTACAGGCTGGGGTGATGAGTGGAAGCATTTCTTGGAACTGAAAGTAGCGACCTCTCACCTGCAATCTCAGACTCGAGGTATGAGCCTGCGGAGCCTATTTGAATTGCAAAACTAAAGGGCTGTGCTGACTTGCATAATAATCACGTACAGCCTTTATTTCCGTCGTCCGATAGCCCGCTCTTTGACCATCGAACGGCGCACATGCCGTCAATACCGTATCTTCCCCGCCCACCAGAACAAGCATTGCGGGACAACCGTACGAGATTTAAAACCACATCGAAAAGCGAGAGGAGAGAAACCTTACTTGTAGCAGATTCCGGGCCAACCCATCCTCCATGATCCTTGCAAACCCGCTCGCGTGACTGTACCGGTTGCCTGCACAGAGGGACGATGACGTCAGCAATCCTGTGAAAATAGTAGTCGCCACTGAATTTTACTGTTCAAGTCCTGCACGGACTGGCATGCCACCGCGCAGCGACAAGGGGACGGGACGTAGAATTTTAAAAAGCAGAATATGAACGTGGAGAAGAAAGGAAAGGACCTTCGAAGATCGAAATAAACTCGAGTAGAACTCAGTAAGATGGAGAGTGGAGTGAGTAGAAAGGAATGAAAAGAGAATGCAAGACGGGAGAAAATGGAAAGGAGTGGTGCAATTTTGGGATGGTCCAAGTGCGTGAACGGAGGCGTCAAAGTCCATCGTATCCTTTTGCCATAGGGGACAAGAGGAGAGGGACAAAACAAGGCACCGAAGCCCAGAAGACGACCGGCGCGCTTGGACCAAGGAATCAGTCGCGCATACCAGAATTTTCGTCGATTTTCTGCTGCAAAGGAGCCCTATTTCTAATTTGTGTGAACGGAAATGGTCGACATGTGGAGCAGGAAAGGCGAATGAAAGGTTGCGCGCGCACGGCTTCGAAGCAGTCGGAAGTGTCGGGGTGTGCGCCAAAGCGATGACAACCGTTGTTTCTACCTTTTGAACAAAGCTCGGGAAAAAGAGGGGGTGGCAGAGTGTAGAGGAACGAGAAAGGTGACTAGGACATCTGCGCGCACCTTCGAAGCAGTCGTACGTGTCGTCACGTGCATTAAAGTTTTGCTATTGAACGGTGAGACACCCCACGAACTTCAACTCCCAACAGCAACTTAGAGGGACGAGAGGAGACACTTGCGGAAGAAAGTTGGACTAGGGGCAACAAAAGAAAGAAAATACGAGCGCACAATTGAAGCAGTCGTACCTGTCAGGGTGGGCATCTGTTTTTCCAGCTGTCTGATTCCTCAGTCATAATACGAAGCAGACGATCCAAGAGGAAACACTCGCGCGAACGAAAAAAGCACATCGAAGAAAATGACATGATTGACACAAGGAACAAACTCGCGAATTTGAGAAGTCTGAAGACGAGACAAGGAAACTGTAGCAACACGCGCGCACCTTCGAAGCAGTCGTACATGTCGGGATGCGCGTCGAAGTGCAGGATGTCGACCGGCTGGCCCGCTGCCTCGACCACGCCGCGCACGACAGGCCACGTCACTGAGTGGTCGCCACCCATGACGATCGGGTACAGGGGTTTCTAGAGATTGCAAACAAGAATTTTATTCAATTAGGTAAGTAGATGCTTCTGAAATAGGAAATGAGAACCTCCTCAAAACGGCAGTCGTTTAGAAACCTCCTCTTATCAAGCCCATTGGAACCTCCGAGAGGAGTATTGGGGTACGAGTCACCGAGTGGCGCCCGGTCCTGCGCGCTTCTTAATTCTGGAAGTATGTTGGAAACGGAGACAACATCCAGAACGGAAAGTATCATGAAGAAGGCGCTTCATATGCTCAATGCGCAGCCCCTAAACCTGAAAACCCTTGTATCATATCAAACTTTGCGACAAAGGGAGATTGGATACGAGTCGAGTGGTCGCCACGCTTTCCACAAAACCTTTTTTTTGGCGATTTGGGAAAAGGATTCACTCCTGTTCGAAGCGAGTCATTCAAGAGCTTCCTTTGTGTAAGTCCATACTCCACAAACGTGAAACGCAACCCACCTGCTGGTAGATAATCTTGACGGCTGAGGAGATGGCGTCAAACAGCTGCTTGTCGTCCACTCCACAGTCCCGCAGCTCTTGGATCGGGAGGTTTCCCACGTCGACCAGGTTTCGGATGTCGTTTAGGTCAATGCCTTTCTCGGTGAAGGAGTTGGTGCTGTGGCACCACATGCTCTCACGGATCAAGGCGGGGGCAAACGCAGGGCCTAGAATCCATACACACAATCTGCTTTGAGACCGGTAAAAGGACAACGCAAGGGTCACAAGGGAAAAGCATTGGGTTTCCCGTTCGGTCAGTGCCTTTTTTAGTGAACGAGTTGGTGCTGTGGCACGACTTGCTCGTACGGATCAGTGTGGGCAAAAACGCAGGGCCTGGCAGCATCTCAAAACTTAGGGGTAAGGCCGGTTACGGATAGCGCTTAGGGTCTCGAAAAGAGTGATTTCTGTACTTTCGGTGCCTGTTTGGAATTCTTAACCTGTAAGTAATAAACGGCTTGGCCATCCAAAACAGTTGGACAAAGCAGCTTTGAGGGCTCATGAGAAGAGCAACCAAGAGGATATGGCGAAAGGGCGAGTCAAGAAATTGGACATCCTAGTCTCCTGTTTCCTGACTAAGACTGAGGCAACTTTAGAGGAAGCAGCCCCTCAGGAACTGCGATCGCGCCCTTGCATCCCTTCTGCCCCCAGATAGCTACTTTGGCTAACCTAAAAGACATCAAGTCAAAAGCTGATCGGCAGTCCTCGTGACAAAAGCAACCGTGTCAGGAGAACAAGTGCTTACGCCGAACAGACTCGTTCTACCTCTTTGCTAAGTACATCGGTTTCTGTGGACCCGAGTTGAAAAGCTGAAAACTGACGATTCCTCCGGATTGCTTCAGTTTGTAGGAAATCGAGTTAGCAGTTTGTAAAAAAGTGAGTGCCAGACATTTGTGGCGGAATACAAGTGGCAGAGAATGTACCTTGTTGGAAGGATGAGTTGTGACCCAGGGGCAGCCCCAGCAGTGCCGGCACTTTTTCTGCGTCCTTTTCCAACCGCTTAACCGTCTCGCCTTTCAGGTGAACCAGTTCCCTAACCAGGGTTAGCGCTGCCTCGATAACCCGCTGCACGCTCTCTGGCCGGAGACGGTATGGGGCAGTGTGACCCATCCCAGCTGCATCGGTGCTCAAACCCCTGCTAAACCCTTGAATTAACCTTTGGCTTGTCCCTTGGTTGAGACCTTGGCTTGAGCTTTGGCTTAATCCAGGCGCTGACTCAGTTTGTCCAGGGGCGTCAGTGCATAAACCCCTGCTAAACCCTTGGTTTGTGAAAGGATGATCTGTTGACTGACAGGATACACTAGCGGTTGCTGTAAGAGCGGGTCTAAGGGAGGGGATATATGAGCTAAAGAAGTTGGACGAGAGCCGGAGGAGGGCGCCTCGGGCCGCCATCTGAAACTGCAGAGAAGAGGTCAGAATGTGTTCCAAAAACCTGCCAAACATTTGGAATATGAGAAGAAGGGAGTAAGCTGTTGATGACTGGACGGCTGGAAAGGAAAAAGAAGCTCTTGACTTGAAGGGGAACCAGCAGCAAACCAGAGGCAAGAAACAAAATATCAGAGGGACCAGCAAAAGACAGACTGTTCAGTGTCAGAAGACTGGGAATCACTGTTCTAGAGTGCAGATTGAGCCCTCATGCTGAGCTCTGAAGAGGCAGGTGCAATTGAATGATAGAAGAGTAGACCTTGATGTTGCTGAAGTAGAGGAAACATGTGTTTTGAGCGAGCCTCAAATGTTTAGAATGACCTGAGAACTTGCAATCAAAATTGAAGAACGAGAGCCAGAAGTCAGCAACCTCGGAGTAACAAACAAAAGAGTACCAGGCATGGAATCAGATGGCCTTGGAATTCCAGAAAAACATACATAGTGGGGATAAAGATGAAGTGAGCAAATGAATCACATTCAGTTCTCATCACAACACTCGCAAAATGCAGCTAGACAAGCCCATAGGGATCATTATCTGGGACAAACATGTGACTTTCAAGCGGGCAGATGGATCAGGGGACGTGCAAACCAGCATGAAGAATGTGCTAGTGGGTGCCATAGCACAAAGGTAAAATGAAGATTGAACATTGAGTCAAAGGGACAAAGGCAGCAACCAGCTTGTGAGAATGAGGATTTTGGAGAGTAAATAAGCATGCCCTGTGACAAAAGTTTGACGGCTGCCACTTGGTAACAAATCAAAGAGCCACAAACCCTTTGTCAGAAACGTCCAGACTTTTCCATCATTACCACCACTACCATCGGTGTCAAAGGGCATTGATTGTAAATCTCCTATCCAAAGTTTAGGTCTCAGGCAAAGCCACCTAAATCTTGCAACGCCAGCCCTTTTGAAATGTTTCTAATCAGGCCAGACTATGCTGCCAAGTTCAGGAAACAATTTTCCACCATCTGAGAAAGTGCTGATTCAAAATCTATAGAAAATGCAATCAAATTACTTTTCTCCTCAATTGACAGTGACACCTTGAAAAGAAGCATACAGCTCAAAAAGTAGACTTCCTTGTTTTACCGTCTACAAAAGAAAGTCACAGACTGTAAACTTGAACGATTGCTTTCCTTTAATGAATCTTGATCCTAATAATGCTCGTGAATCATGATCTTGAGAAAGCTCGAGCAATGAAAACCAGGAACCCAGAATTGCTGACTGAGCTGTGGAGCTGAATCCAAGGTACTTGTGCAATCAATCAAACCAAGCTCCAAAGGCTGCAAGTGAGCTCAGAGCATTCCCTCAGCAAAATTGACCAGGCGCCACATCATGGCTCACCTCAGTGGTGTACGCCCAGCCGCTGTTAGCTGTCAAATTTGATTGGTGGAGCTCCTTAAATGGAATCCTAGCTTGTGAAGGAAGAACGTTTTGCAGAGCGGGAAAGTCTTCGCCCCAGGGGCACCCTCACTTTTGGAACTTTTCCAAGCAAGATGAGTTCTGCACTGGCAGTGGCGACGAAGTGCAGAACTCAGAACCTCTGCCAGAAGGCTGTCTCCTAGGGTTTGAAACCCTAAAATGCGAAACGCGTTTTTAGAAGTTCCTTGATGCCTTTCTCAGATTTGACCCTTGACTCCTGACTCAAGAGCAGAAGAGCTTCCAAGGCGCTTCAAACAACGCAAGTTTACGTGCAATGTGGAGTTCTTTGGAGCTGACATTGGCTCAAGGGGTGGTAAGCACGCTCGTTTGATTCGACGGAATGTGAGGTTATTGGGAGGAGCTTGGAGGGGCTTGCTGTTCTGATGGTATCTGCTGAAACTCCTTCGAAAGGTCCAGTGGCGTGGCAGAACGTAGCAATACTGCCTCAGAACCTGTACCACTAGCACGCGCTAAGGCCTGAGCATACATAAAGGATTGAGGCACCGAGGAAAGTTTGTGGTCAAGCCATCAGACTTCCTGTGAGATTCAGGCAGCCAGACAATGTCAATTCAGTCTGCCATAACTCGTAATGCGTTGGTGCAGTTTGGAGTTCATCAAAGAAGCTTCTTCAAGAGCTGTCCTCGTGTAATCGGGCCCCTACGAAGAGGTTCAGCTTTCTTCTACGATAGATCCTGCTTAGACTATCCACCTGAAGTGCTCACAGGGGGAAAAAGCAGAATTAAGCCGGCTGAGTGTAACTCTTCTCTTCTCTGTACACTGCACCTTGATTCACCCGGGTTCCTTGATCAGAAGCAGGAAGCCAGGACAATCAGTCACCCCCAAGAAAGCAGCCGCCCTGGTTCATTAGCAAAGTGCATTCGGAATCGGCGAAACCCCCCCCCAGCCCTAGTTTTTGGAGGTCACAAAGTCAGAGCACAGTCCCATAGGTTCGTAACCACGATGGCAACATCAGGCACTGAAGCAAGTTTATCTGAAAAGCAATTGCTAACGTCACTTGGCTGGAACCTGATCAGCAGGCGTTCCCCAGCATGTGTTGGCACACCAGAGGCCGAAATAGACACCCCCGCACTAGTTGTAGACCTAGACATCATGGACCAGAACATAGACACGCTGAACTCTCTCCTGAAAGCGCACCCAAATGCGCGTCCAAGGCTCCACGCCAAGGCACACAAGTCGCCGGGAATAGCGCGTATGCAGATAGAAAAGCACGACGCTGTCGGGGTGTGTTGCCAGAAGCTGGCGGAGGCGGAGGCAATGGTCGCGGGGGGCGTTCCGGACGTCCTGATCTCAAACGAAATCGTCCAGCGCCCGAAGCTGAAAAGGCTTGCTGAGCTGGCAACACACGCCAAGATCTCCATCTGTGCTGATGACATCGCCAACGTGCGTGACATCAGCGCGGCCGCGTCAGAGGCTGGAATGCAGATCGGTGTCTTGGTGGAGGTCAACGTCGGTCAGAACCGCTGCGGGGTTGACACTCCCTCGGAAGCAGTGGCGCTAGCACAGGAGATAGTGTCTCTTCCAGGACTGGAGTTTGCAGGGATCCAAGCCTATCATGGGGGAATCCAGCATGTCAGGGAGCGGGAGGAGCGGCAACTAGCAGTGGAGAAAGTTGTGGCTAAGGCGAGGGAAGCAGTGGATGCGCTGCGAGAAGCGGGGTTGGAGTGTCCGGTGGTCACCGGGGGCGGCACAGGGACGTTCGAGTTCGAGGCTGCGAGCGGGGTTTACACGGAGGTGGGGAGAAACCCAAACACGGATTTCTATGTAGCCTGAGTGGTATCGGCGTTGCCATCACAACGTCACAACTTCTTGTTATTGTGAACTCGTTCTCATCCGTTTTAATGATGGTTGTAACAGGCCTTGTCTTTGACGGTTTCCACTTTTCGAATCCAGGTTCGAATCAGTTCAGACCGAAAGCTATCCCGGATGTACTGCTTGTGTTTTGGCCGACAAAAAGCTCCCTCTTCTTGCTGCTTCTTGCTGGCGTCATCAGTCATCTCCGAAATATGGAAACAGTTGAGACTTCCCCTTGGAGGTCGAGGTCCTTCAGGCACCTACAATCCCGTCACCTGTGAAGATGATTGATTTTGACTTGAAGGTTCAATCAGGAGTTGTAAAACTGTGTTTGACTCCAAACCGCCTCAGTCTCCGGAATACCTGCTCGTTTGTTGCGACCGCATCCAAATAATGACCACTTTCGAGTCAGGTCCGCTCTGTGTATAGTTCATTTCTTTGGTCGTTTTAGCTTTTTGAATTCCCCGCAGATCTAACCGGGTTCTTAATTGCGCTTCTACCCATTCTCCCAACTTTCTCTCCCTCTCCAACAGTTCAACCCGTGCTCCTAACTTCACGTTGGCAGCGGCCTTTTTAGTATGTCTATGTCACCCCCGGCCTCTTCAAACGGCCTCACACACTCACGTTTCGTCCGTTTATTATTTCCCCGGCAGGTCCAACCCGGCTCCTACCTCTTCGGTGACGCCGACTACGCCCGCAACGACTGTCCCTGGCAGCAGAGCCTCTTCGTTCAAACCACGGTTATGAGTGTTAACCCGTCCCGCGGAACCGCGGTCATCGACGCGGGCTTGAAGGCGTCATCTTTCGACTCCGGGCCGCCTCTGCTTGCTGGGTCCTTGGGGAAATGTTTCGACGTCGAAAACGGGGGAGATGAGCACGGTATACTCGTGCCAAAAAGCGGGGTGCAGGGGACTGTACAATTGCCGAAGGTCGGCGAAGTGGTCCGGCTAATTCCTGGGCACTGTGATCCGACCGTAAACTGTCACGACTTTCTAGTTGGTGTTAGGAAAGGCCAGGTGGAGGTGGTGTTCGAGATTTCAGGGCGGGGCCCTGGCTTTTGATAGCCCTCAGTGTGTCTAGGCTGGTTACTCCCGTAAGATTGGAACGTCTTCTGTACATACAGAGCTTCGTTTGCGTTTGTAATCTATCCGTGGGGTGCTGACAATACACAACGAAGACTTGGATCAACTGTAAATCTTCAGCAATCGTATTCAACGATATCATGGCGAAGCCGTTTGCTGGTACTATGATACCTTGCATGTTGCATGATTGATTCATGCATGCTACTTTTAGCACCGTCGGCACACTATTGACTTGGTAGACGCCGAAGCTCCGGTTCGTACATGTCACTAGGATGAGTCGGACTCCGGGACTAGTTGGTGGAAACGCGATGACTGGCATGTCCTCTGATGCAGCGGGCCTTGACCAAACGATCGGGATTACTGGCCACTGAGCGGCTCGGACGGACGTGGTCTTGCCAGTCCGGTCAAGCTAGCCGCCACATACTACATATTACGCATGCACTAGAACATCATCGCGTTGCCAGTGCACTGCACCAGCCGCGCTACTAACTTAGAAGTCGAGTTCCGACTAGGGCCGCTAGCTCGGCACTAAACAATAACAATGACAATATCAATATGAACAATATAAAACTATATACGTACCCAGATTGAGCGAGCGGCGCATATATGGCTGCCCGCGCCGCGGACCGTCCGATCTGTCATGCATGGGCGCGCGCAGGCAGTATCATTATGTGCAAATTATCAGACTCACGTTGGATTTGCATAATATGTATGCCATGTGGCAAACTTGTCGCGTAAACTAAATATGTATATCTGGATCGAAATTGCAGGCGCCGGGCCTAGACTCAATATGCAAAGGCTTAATCATGCATATATAATAAAGGCCACTTACACGGTCGGACTCCGAGGAATCATATATCGCGTCATGCATGCCATGCTCAGTCTTTGCTAGAGACGTCATCTGTGGACTTACTAAAGATACGCTCGTCGAGTGCGCAAAGCTGCATAGCAACACAGCGCAATATGCTTTTCGTTTTGCATAGCGTATAATTGAATGCAACATGTAGCCTAGCCCCGCAACACGTGCAAGCTCGTGGCCGCCGCGCTGGCCGATGTCGATGTACCTACCTTACTATGATATCATTCACTGAACGTGCACATCGTTGAGCTAACTCATTCAATTCTTGCACCGTACTCGATGAAATATAGTTCCATTCTGTTGCTCCCGGCCAGTCTACGCTGGCCGGACTGTCCGGTTGGAACGTGGCAGCGTTGAGCACCAGCATGCACGCGGCAGAGTGAATGGCTGTTCTCTTAAGAGCATACCGAGTCGCTGGCCTCGATCTTCGAACAACTGATGCATCCTCGACGGCTTGCAATTCTGAAGAGCATGCAACGGTCTTGCAATGCAGAGATCCGTAGATCTCCATCAGCTCAAATGTAGACTTTGTGAAACCAGACGACGTAATATTTAGATTCACAAGAGCAATATACAACTTTGTCCAATTATGGGAAGGCCACCTCTTGATCTTAGAGTTCTGGTCGGGTGGCCCAGGAAGCTACTAGATGCCGAGCAGCGTATGCAAGGCTTTTGTCATCAGACTCATTTGCGACCGCTGATTTGAGGTTGTCGAAAATCTGTCGTGTTTTCAGGTCTCTGCAAGTGGGTAACGCCAAGCCGTCAGCATACTGCTTGGTATTGATGGACGGCATCAATTTCCTTGTCGAACATCGTAACAAAACAAATAATACAAAAAGTAAGATTACTTGACACCCCTCAAAAAGAAGAAACGAAGGTATCTGCGGATAAGCAGAAAGGTAAGGCAGCAACTTTGGTTGGGGCTGCCGTAGAACCAGCAGTACAACGAAAAGGTGACAGAAGGCAGGACTTTTCATTGGGGGCATAGAGGCAGAATAGAGCGCTTCTTTGGAATATACGTATTTGATCTGCGCGGGAGTTTGCAAGACGGGGACCTGTGAATCACCAGTCCAAACAACCAAAGGAACGATCTCTCAGCCCGAGCGGCCAACCCTTTGCTGCGCACCTTTCAAACAATCCCGTCAAAGCGTTTGAAAAGGTATATCTGCCTAAATGGCTCTTGACAAGAACTCCAAAGGAAGGAAACATCTTGTCACTCAATCGGAAAAAGTCGACGAGGAAATATTGGAGTGTGCAGTTTCTTTTTTAAAGCTTACTACCTAAAATCACTTGCAGAGTACGGGGGAGAAGTACGGGTCACGTGAAGAAACGCCTCTCGCACTCATCGGGCCGAGACGTTTCGGGGATCATACCGCTTAAAAGGCACGGTCATTGGAGCCCAGACTCTTAGCGACTTTCTTAGACCGTGATACAAGATCAAACGTGTCTTCTAGTGACGAATCTGACAGAAGGAGGACGGTAAACGACTTTTGAAGAGAAAGTAGAAAGCTTGGTGTGCAAAAGAGGTCGGCGGCTGACGACAGCAGCGAAGTGAGGGGCTCGAATTATCTTTTTCAAAAATCTGTTTGAAGGGTAATGCTCGCGGCAACGAGGGTTTGCTCGAGGCACTTCAGTGCCAATCACACAAGGCCATAAGCCGCCGACACTTCGGGAAGACCTTCCGAAAGCGAAACGAGTTTAAGACCAAGTTTTGAGTGAAAGAGGTCCAGAAACTTGTGTACTGACCTGGCGGCACTTCGCAACGCTGGATGGAAGTCCCCAGCAATAATTTCATCGATCGAGAACCACCTGAGGAGCAGAGAAGGGGAGCTCAATCAGAATGTTGACGGTATGAGAAGCTTCCACATTTGACGGGTTGCTCATCATTGCAATCCCACCACGCCTACAATTGCTTCGCCTTCTTTGGGCCCGCTCAAATGCTTGAATCCGAAAGTAAACACGTCTGGGAAAAGCAGGTTCCATTTTGATCGGGGCGGACAAGTGGTGGCATGATCCATCCAGGCCCCAACACAAGCTGGAAGGCTCGGGACCGTTTCTGGAACGACCATTGTTACGGATGAAGAAAGGAAGACTTTCCGAAGCGAGTATAGCGTCTTCCCCTATACCGAAAAAAGGGTCCAAGTGCAAGTATAGCAGAATAAACTACCTAAGGGCCTGATAAGAATCTTAACGATCCGTTTCGATACAGAAGCGCGGAAACGCCAAATTCCACCTCACCGTGATGGATCTCCAAAGATGACCAGATACTCAGCAATGCGCAACTTTCTTTGTCCGCTTATCCCCAGTGGGGCCTCGTTCGACTGAGTGGAAACGCTCCCCGAGCAAGCGTTCGAGGCTCGCTTACTTCTACTTTCGGAGAACACAGCCTCCTCGGATCGAAACTTTCGGAGGACACAACTCCCTCAAACCGAACGCCAGAAGATACAAGCTATTCGGAACAGGTTTAGAGCCAAAAGAACCACTCCCCCTTACCGGACGTCCGAGTACTCCTTCTCGTCCAGGTGTATCGTCCGCACCTCCTCCGGCGTCAGCACGAGCGTAAACACAACTGAAATGTCGCACGTGCCGTTCTCCTTTGGAGGTTGCTCACGCTTCGCCCACGCATAGGAATTGGTCGTGAGGGCCCTGCCGGGAAGAAGGCTCGCAAAGTTGAGGGGCAAATTCTGGGTGGAGCTTTCTCGGCAAGGCCTTTGGAAGATAGACTGGTTGTGGGAGCTTTGACGGGAGGGAGCTTCGTGAAGTTCGACAGGGCAATGTCCAGACCGGTAAACAATTCAAAGACAACCGGTAACTTTGTTAGGAGAAACCACAACAGAAATGCGTTTAACTGGACGAGCTGAAAAGATGGCAACTTAAGAAGAGTCACGACGCTAATTTTGGATACTTCCTTTCTCAAGATGAGATGCTAGAGATCTTATGGTCTGGGTTGCCAGCTTCCATCTAGCTGAGCCGCTATTGGAAGACTCGATTGGGCTTTAAAAAGAGCTGGGACCAATTGGCCACAACAAGCTACATCTAGAGAATCCGTACTTCAACTAGATATAAAATGTCTGAAATCTAAGTGAAACCTCACCGAAACCGTTCTCCCGCCAAGTCTAGTTGCAGCTCTCGTCGCACGAGCCGGACCACCGACGCCTCTGGAGACTCCCCGCAGCGCATCCGGCCGCCCATGAACCACCAGTCCGGCTGAGGCTCTACTATCCGCTTTCCGAGGAGGACCTGCACAAGAAAAGATAATCAGTAACTGGCTCAAGTAGAAAAGTATTGATATTCCCAGGTTGATTGGCCCAACGTTTGGTGGATACGCCTTGATCTCGTAACTATCCCTACTATCCTTTTAGCGTTTAGAATCAGCGGCTTCGATTCCAGCTTGACTAGATGCAACGGAAAGGAAACTTTGTTTTCCCTTTCTGGGGGTTCCTCTGAAAGAACGGCGATTGCAAGTATTGAGGGAGCTTTTTGAACACTGCCAGTGCAAAGTTGACCAGAGACAGCCAAAGAAGGAGGGCAAAGGAATAGGCCTTTTTGACTGTTGGAAGGGAGCTTGTTTTGTGCAACAAATGAGATGGTCAAATCCATCTATAGTGGTCCAAAGGTTCGCAAAACGCACCCAGATTCAAGCTGTTAGTTGCGGGGGGTGAGAGTGATGGACTACTGAACCACTACAATGAGAAGTAGGTTTTGCAGCCATGTAACCAGATTAAGATTGTGGTGGAAGTTGCCAAAGCAGCCGTAAGGATCTGCTGACGTCCAATACGATTCTAATGAGAGGATATTGGGTTAAAATGGGGCTTCTTCAGCACTCGACTTCAAAGAGGCACAACACAGGTTTAAGCGCGGCCTGAAGTTGCTGACATCATCAGCAAGATCTGGTGAATGCACACTGACATCCCAGATTCATACAGCATTAGTAACAGCTGCCTTAGAGATTGTAATGCAAGTTTCGCAGCCACTCTCAATCTGGAAGAAAGGGAGACTTGCCAGACTGATCCTATCACATATACTTTCTCACCAGGTGTTCCATTTGAAGAAATCAAGAGGTCTATGTAGGATTTCCAGAACAGGGCACAATGTGAGCAACAAAAGATTTACCTTGGAGTCTGGTCTGTCTCCATCCAGAACGAGAAGATCTGTACAAGCTTTCACCAGGCAATCTAGTGCCAATCCATACTGTTCATCGTTCAAAAAGACGGGCTTAATCTTGGATCGATCGCCCGTGACAAAATGCGGAAACTCGAAGAAAGGCATCGTGAAGTGCGTGCCTCGTTTCGTCAGCTACGCCTGCCTCCCTCAGTTCGATAGTGCTCAGCAAAAGTGGCAGGAGCAAAAGGGTGGCTTTCAATTGAAGAGGAAGGCGCCAAGTAACGAAGGTCAACGAAGGCCAACGAAGGCCAATGGCAAGATAGAAGTGCAACAAAAGATGAGGACTAGGCGACTCGAACGCCTAACCTTCCGATCTGGAGTCGGATGCACTGCCATTGTGCTAAGTCCCCTTTTGTGAGCTTTGCAGCGATAGCAAAGTATATCTACAAACTTACGCAGGATCTGATTTTACATCGATGGCTTGAGTTGCTTCAGCTTTAATCTGGACGGTTGCGATGAGGTCAAGCAAGAAACAACTGAGTCACGTGTGTTCGGCATTTGTCAGCGTACAAAGGGATGCATATGCACCGGTGGTCGCTGGTGCCTCTAAACGCTGAGTTTGGACGGCTGAGCGTAAGTTACGGACAGTTTTTGAGGACCTTGTGACCGTCCGATTGATGCGGTTGCGGCGAAAAGATCAGAACGATTACAGGCACTGCCCCGGAAACGGGCCAATCGCAATCGTCTCAGGATTCGCTTTGGTCAAAGGCTGCGCCTAAAGGCTCCGTGCTAGCGTGTGCTATGCTCTGGAGAGAAGGGCAGAGCGCTGCAAAAGGAGCTTCAAGTCCCCTTTCATCACCATTATAAGCACCCAAGTTTCCCCCATTCCCCACAACCTCAACACATTTTCCCCTTCCCAGCTTCCAATGGGGAAAGGCAGCGACCACAACGTGCATTACGCCCCCGTCTCCAGCGAACCCGCCTCCACAGAGCCTATTCCCACCTCTCCAATGGCTGCTCCTAACGCTGATGAGCTTGAGAGGGGTCTCCTGCCAAGTTCCCCCACTGCAGTTCCTCAGGGATACTTTGAGAGTGCTCGTGATGCAGTCAACTCTGCTCTGATTGCAGTCAGGGCCAAGTTCCAGGAGCGCGCGTCGTCCCCCCCCCAGAAGGAGGGCTACGAGGCACCCCCCTGCAGGATGCGCAAGCTGATGGCCTGCCAGGGTGTGAAAATGCTCCTGGCAGCTGTGATGGGGGCTCTGCTTGTGATCGCTGCGGCACATATCTTCCATGGTAAGTTGTACTGCTGGTTTGATTACTGGGGAGTCTGGTCAAGATGAATTTGATCAGGCTTGTCTCTGTGGCATCAACTCTATCAGGTCAGCTCACAAATTCGACTGGTTGGATGTCTAGGTAAGTTGGGCAGATGGGGGTCAATCCAGCTTGGCTGTATTGTGGTGGCTCAACAGTGTGAGCTTGACTGTTGTATGGGTGAGAGACAGTGTTTCTGTATCCACTTATATGTGGCTGGACAATGCACCTTACTTCTGGTTTGCTAGTCCAGTAGTAGTGGCTTGTGCTCTGAACTCTTCTCCTTGGGCCATTCACCTTTCCTTTAGTTATTGGTCCAGTGGGCTCTCCTGTCTTCACAAGTGTGTTTCAAGTCCTGAAGCTGATTGATCCTGTCAACTCAACCTCTTCAAACTTTGTAGCTTTTTCTTTGTTTTTTGGGCAAACATAGCCTCTTAGGAGCTGGATTCAATCAGGGCCCAGCGGTCTTGCTTTGAATCCAAGAAACACCTGTCCTGAAAGTAGCTACCTCTAGGAAGATATTCCTTGCACTCCTTGCCCTTTACGTCCCTTCATGCGTGTCAACTTGAGCAATCTGTCAAACAGCACATCCTCCTAAGGCACGCGTTGGTGATTCTGGGCCTGCGCCATGTTTCTTCTTTCCCTCCTGTAGTACCCGAAAAGTCTCGCCAGATGAGAGTTTTCCTAGCAACCAGAACTTCTTATCATTATGTGGCTTGGGCATTCCCCTGCAGTTGATCCAAACTCTGTGAACAAGTATCTGCAGGGCTTGTAGCCTTAGAGGTTTCCTCTGAGTCAGGAGATCGACAATGAAGTGATCTACCCTACTTGAAGCACTAATTGTCCAACAGTCCGGTGCAAATCAGCCCCTTGAATAATCAACTGCTTTTCGCATTCACACTCTCTCCTGCATAAACAAATATGGTGTCTTTGAACATCCAGGACCACTGCCAAATCCGCATAAATAACTATTTTTCTGACTCTTGCAGACCGATGCAAACCAGCCCTCAGACGATCAACTGCTTTTCGCATTCACACTCTCTCCTGCATAAACAAATATGGTCTCATACATCCAGGACCACTGCCAAATCCGCAGTAAATAATTATTATATAAATAACTATTATTATAAATAACTATTTCTATGCTTGCACTTTCAGGACCTCCTCCCCCCCGTCCATGGGGCCCTTGGGGAATGGAAACTGAGGCGGCCGCTCCCACTGGGGTCCTAGGATGGGTCAAAGGTCTCTTCTTTGGGCAGGTGAGACAGCCAATCACATTTTACCTCACCTCGGGTAGGCTTTCCTATCTTCATCTTGTTTGATCTTCTGTTTCACCTGTTCTTTGATACAAATCACTCAAATTCCTATCCTCTCTTTAGAAGCTTCGTTTCAGCAATCAGGCCTGGTGACAAACCTGGCTATTCTACTGATTTGGAAGGATGACCTCATTTGGGATGACGACCTGATTCCGGGTTCCTCTACAAACATCTGGGAAGTGGACATTGTCGGGCAACACAAGGAACAGACCCTGTAGAAGGCACTTCTTAATTCCAAGGGATCTTTATTCCCTTTCTTGACACCATTCCCCCCTCCACTCTTGCAGGATATCCAAGCCGATCTCCCCAGCGAATGGGACTTCCTTCTCGACTTCGACCTCAGCGACCCCGACAGTACCCCCCCCCTCGACTGCCCCCC